TTCTCGGGCCATTATCTCCGTAACCGTTCAACTTTGGACATAGGTGTTTTGGGTTATATCGGCATACTTTAACATAAGGAACACCCTCCCGAAGTTTGGCACATTCCTCCTGGGACACCCTGTATATGTAATTTGATATTGTGAATACTTGAGATGTTGTTATTTATCTGATTTAAAGCATATCTAATGGCCAGCACTTTCATGATGCAAGAATATGCGGAAATCTGAAATATGACATAGAATGAAAGTGCCTTCTTTCTTTCACTATTACCTTTGCTCCAGTTTGTTTGTTTGTTTGGGCTTCTACCCTGGGCTAGATCCATATTACTTTTCAGTGCTTGGATTTGTCTTTGACGCTGAAGATGGAGGCAGTATGTACCTCCAAAACTTCAGTGGACTTCTACCACACATCATCACATCCCAAAAGTTACTGCCATGAGAACCTTTAATCTCACCAACTAGTAATTATGTTAGTATTCTTAAGGCAAGTGGCCATGTTAACAGTCCCCTCAATGGGTCATCTTATGACAAAACATATTCCATTCTTCTCTACTCTCTATCTTACATGTACTTTCCCTCTATCAGATGTCCACTATTTCTCTGCTTTCTTTTGTATATCTTTCTCTCCATCTTTTTCCCCAGTGGTTGTTTGTGGAATTTCTCCTGTCATAAAGTAGTATGGGTTCTTTACCAGGAATGATGAAACAAGAGGATGAGGCCGACCAGTCATTATCAAGGTTAGGAATGTGTGGAGGTTAACCTCAACAACTCCAGTACACTTTTGTGAAGACACAAGGGGTACAATTTACTTTTCCATTTTAGAATACTGACATTACTTGAACATCTTACTATGTCTAAGCCCCTGAATAAATCAGAAATTCATTGTATGATCAAAGCAACTTAGTATTTGATTATCCACGTTTATAGGTAGTGCAGGCAGCACTGGACCAGGCAAAAGCAGGACGTACCTGTATCACTATTGCACACCGCCTGGCAACAGTGCAGCAAGCAGATATTATCTGTGTGTTGAATCGGGGAGTTGTAGCAGAGATGGGATCTCACTCACAGCTGCTAGAGAAACAGGGGCTGTACTGCCAACTGCTGCGGCAGGCAGCCGGCAACTGTGAACAGTAACCACAACAGTTACATGTCAGATGCTGTGTGATGGAACACATTTGTTTCATATGAACTGGAGATGCCTTCCTTGGCACATGTATGCTCTGGGTCATTTCAGTAAGACTAAAAAACTACTAGTAATGTTCTAGGTCCCCTATTTCTAAGTACTGTATTATAGATTTAGGATGAGATTTAGAAATCCAGATATAATAAATGTAATCTCTCTCAGTGTATATCTTCTGATGACAATTAGCAATGAGTGGACAGACAACAATAACTTTATTAACTAAAAATATTTTAAAAATGGTTAAAGTACAGAATGTCATCTTAGGGCTGCGTCAAGCAGCCTCCGTAGTCTAGAGGTAACATCCCCACCTCATGACTCGTGGTACGCGGGTTCAAACCCGGAGGAGGTCGTGGAATTTTTAAGGGCGGAAAAATTCAGGGAACAAGTCCTTCGGGAGGGACTTTAAGCCGTGGGTCCTGTGTCGTAGCTTTACGGCACATAAAAGAACCTCATATCTCCAAAGGAGGTCACTGAGCCAAATTCAGGACGTTTCCCATCCAACAGTAGTCTCTATCGCCTCCAATAGATGAGGGAAGCATTATAGATACCGCCAAGCCAGTAGAGGCAAACTCGCTGGCTCAGTCGGGACTGATGGTACGCACCAATATCAGTAGGGTATAGAGACTGGTAGAATATCATAGAGGGAAGCACAATGGACCAATACTGGTGTAAGTGCATGGGGAAACCCACCCTCTCCAATAACTAACTAACTAACTAGGGCTGCATCACCATACAGTCTAGTGGGTGAATAGAATACAATATAATACCATCATTTTGGAGGAATCTGCTGTCTCCATCTTCAATGTAGAAGTGAGTAGTAAGGTTTTAACTAAGATTGCTGCTCAGATCTGTGAGAGTGGGAGAGACGACAACCCTAGCTGAAGTCAGTAGGAGCAGCAAGCAGGGAACGTGAGAAAAACATCCCTTTTCAGGATTCTGATATTAATCCACGGATCTGTGTGAAAAGGGCTGTTTTTCTCACATTCCCTGCTTGCTGCTCCTTTTGGCCTGGATCAGGTCCTGCCTCCACTCCCACGCACATGGATCTGAGTGGCCATCTTCCATGCAAGCTGCCTGTATAGCCTAACTGCATTATTATCATGCTCATTTTGACCCTGAAACTGGAGGCAGTGTGTCCTTCAAAACATTGATATCCACTTAAAGACTGTATTGCATCACAACCCAGATGGCCAAAACCTTAACAGTTACCACCATAAAAATTTAAAAATTTAAAGTTGCTGATGATTCTTTGATTTGGATTTATGATTTATTTGCATTTTCATTAAAAGACTTAATAATTACTTCACGTTGTTAAATGAAATAATATAGCATGAACACTGACAAATAGAAAGCTGGTAACTCTTAAAGACAATCAGACAAAATACTGCCTCATGTTCCACACATGGCCTTCAAGGTGGTTTGGTTGTCAGGATAGAGCAATGGAGGATTACATTTCTGATAATTTAGTGATATTTCAGCACTAACTTTATAATGAGCTGACTGCCCTATCTGATGAGTTCTGCCAGCTGTCTAAAAGGACTGATGTCAAAAGTAATTTTGAATCAGAACATACCATAAGATCTGACTTATGGTAGATTAAGAAGAAACAAATAACTTTTCAACTTTGGAATTATTATCTTTTACACAGATTGTTAAACTTACATGTCATACATATAAGGTCTATTTTTTATTTTATTCTTTTAAAAAAATATTAGTATATGAGCTGGAAATTATGTGATTTCTCTGGCATAGAATTTCAATTGCTTATTCTGTAATTACAACAATGAAAAATTAATAAACAGTCTTCACTCTCATCATAGCAAAGTGTGGGATATGAAATTACAGGGATAGATGAAACAGCACACAGTCCTCTACTATGCTGTATTGTCATGAATCAAGCTATATCCTTAAGACTAATTTACATTTCCAAATATTATTATTATTATTAAAATAATTTCTTTGATCCAACAGTCACCCCGTAGGGCTGGATATAAAAATTGTCATATATCATGTCAGAGACAAACAGTCACATGCAATAAAATACAGATACACATTAAATGTAATATGTAAAATCTAAAGTACAAAGTAATAATATATCAAGCCTCTTGGAAAACAATATAACAATAAAACATATAAAAATATAAAATAATAAATAAGGCCTTTTGCAAAAAAGCGCAAGTTGTCAGTCCAATTATAACAAATTAGAAAGGAAAATATTAACTCTGTTGACAGAGTGAACTTGTATCATCGAATTCCTACATTTACATTTCTATAAAATTCTTGCCTCTGACTGAACCATTCTCATATGGATATTCTACAAAATATTGTGCCTTCCAAGAAAATTCAACATTTCTGAATTTTAGATATCAAGAGACTGAAGAGAGTCATACTATTTTTAAATTGTGCATGTTCATAAATTCACTTGTTATAACAAAAACCTTTTTTTCTTAAAATCAAAAATTTCAAAGAAATTTATGATTTTTACACTTGAAGGCACTGTCCTTAATAACAAAATAAGCACAAGCCAGATATTAAATAATGAAATGTAACAATAATTGTGTCTATCTGAATGAAGTACAATTGTATGTGTTATAAATTTTTCTTACATTGTAAATATGTGATATTTGGAAAGAGTAAAGCCAACAAATATCCACAAGGAGTAAAGTTAATACACTTACCATCAATATAAAGCCAGTGTAATGCTTGTAGAGTACATTAAGTAGTGTATTCCAATCTTTATGAAGGCTATGAACAAATGTTCAATATGCAGGTCATATCATGGTATCAGAAGGCTTCTGCGGACTAGAGTTCATGTAACACCCAAACACAGCCTGTCCTAATTAATAGATTTGTTAGTCTGTGAGTTTATTTCTTAACCAAGATTCAGTTTACTGAACACTTCAGTCAATTACATGCATGAAGTACAATTGTATGTGTTATAAATTTTTCTTACATTGTAAATATGTGATATTTGGAAAGAGTAAAGCGAACAAATATCCACAAGGAGTAAAGTTAATATGCTTACCATCAATATAAAGCCTGTGTAATGTTTGTAGAGTACATTAAATAGTGTATTCCTATCTTTATGAGAGCTATGAACAAATGTTCAATATGCAGGTCATATCGTGGTATCAGAAGGCTTCTGCGGACTAGAGTTCATGTAACACCCAAACACAGCCTCTCCTAATTAACAGATTTGTTAGTCTGTGAGTTTATTTCTTATGCAAGATTCAGTTTACTCAACACTTCACTTAATTACATGCAAAAATTTAATTTTTTGTTACAAATAACAGTATGAAGTTGTAACACTTAACACAGAGTTCCTTCGACGAGGAAAAACGAATGCTCTCTATGAATAATGACTTAACAATGCATAACAATGGTCATGGTTTACAGAGCCATTACTTAGCAACAGGTCTATATGCTACATTACATACAGCACTTACATTAATGTTACCATGCATATATTCCATTCATTTTAATTCATATTATGGGCCGCTTTACTTAAGAACTTAATTGAAAATTTACATATTTCTAGTATTTTATTAAAATTTAATATACAGCACTTACCCTATATGAGTATTACCATATGTATGTTTAATACACTGTCATTTGTGTAAAGGCTGCTTTACTTAAGGGCCTAATTGAATCTTTATATGTATCTTTTAAGTATTTTGCTAAATCTCAGTATACAGCATTTATATAAGTGTAACCATACATATGTTCCATTCACTTTAACTTATATTAAGAGCCAGTCTACTTAAGGGTCTTCTTAAACTCTTACACACCATCCTTTGTGCCTTTTAAGACATTTTTATAAAACTTATATACCGCACTCAATTAATACAAGTGGCATACCATGTGTAAGTTTAATTAACTTTACTTCATTTTAAGGGTTATTTTACACATAGGCCTAACAATGCTTGATGTCTTTTGGATCCATTGACATGTTTTAATAAATTTTAATGTAGTGTTTTTACTGTGCAAGAATAGTGATGTATGAGTTTCACATATATTCGTTTTCAAGGCCCATTTTATTTATAGGCCTATATTTGTCAGTGCATCTCACTAATCTTTTAACTGTGTACCATCAAAAATATTGCCCAAAGAATTTTATGCTGCTGGTTTTCTGGGGCTTGTGAAACGATGGGACAAGTGCCTCACTGTACAGGGAGATTATGTTGAGAAATAAAAGCATTTTTCAAATCAGTACTCTTTATTTGTTTAATTTCTATACCCATTTGTAACTTACTTATTGACTTACCTACGTATAATTAGAATGATCAAGTCAAGGAGGATGAGGTGGGCAGGGCATGTAGCATGAATGGGCAGAAGAGGAATGAATATAGGTTATTGGTGCGAAAGCAAGTGGGAAAGGGACCACTGGGAAGACCAAAGCATAGGTAGGTGGACAATATTAAAAAGGATCTTAGAGAGACAGGATGGGATGGGATGGTATGGCTCAGGATATGGACCAGTGGAGGGCTCTTGTGAATACAATAATTCAATTCAATTCAATTTATTTTGTTCATCAGATCTACATTTGGCGATGGCGCCACCAGATATAGAACATGTCAAAGCCCTAGTTGCAATAAAATTAATCCAAAGGAAAACGTCATTAAGATATTACAACATATCCACAACCATTGTTGCAATATCTGTTGATACAATGCTATAACTAAACACAGCATGCATATAACACTCGCACTGCAAATTATCATAACAACAAAATACATATCAACATTGTCAATAACAGAGCAAAATCATATCCAAAGGGTTATGGGCATCTTACAATAAAAGTTTAAAAATGACTAGTGTTGTTTCACTTATCTGTAATTGACACAATCATCTCTTGTTTCCCATTCATAATACTCATCTAGAGAATAAAAAGAGCCCACCTGCAATTAAATAATTAAATACAACATGCATGTAACACTTGCACTGCAACTTATTATCATAATAAAATACATATTAACAGTCTATAACAGAGTAAAATCATAATTAAAGAAGTATAGGTATCCTACAATAGAAGTTTTAAAAATGACTAGTGTTGTTTCACTTATCTGTAATTGACACAATCATCTCTTGTTTCCCATTCATAATACTCATCTAGAGAATAAAAAGAGCCCACCTGCAAAAATTTTTAAGGGAATATTTGAATTTATTTCAATCTTGCGAAAAAAATGTTATACTATGTGGTAATTTGTTAAATATTCTAATTCCAGTGTAAAATACTCCCTTTTGAGCCCTGGTTGATTTATAAGTTGGATAATGTAGTTCGTATCTTTGTCTCCTATAAATGTTATGAATATCTGAACCTTCGGGTTCCATAAAATGCTGGGAAATTCTTGAGTAGCTGCATAACTGGCGGCTTCTCAAGAAGGGCTCAGCTCCATAAGGGATCACGAAAACCTTTCCGAGCTTCCCATAAGTCATGGTCTCTTACAGATGTTTCTGAATTGCTATTAATATACTGGCTGGTTCTAAACACATTGTGCGCTGGTCCTGATGTGTCGGAGCGACCAGAGCGACGTACACAGTTTCTATGGAGACAACTGCTTCTGTTATCACAAAATGTTACTTTATATATTTAGTTACTATAACAAATAAGAATATATAATTGTCATAACCGAAATGTGGTGCTGCTATAGGGCTTTCCACATCTTCATTGTCCCGGGGCCCCACAAATTGTAAACCTGGCACTGATAAATGATCCAGTAACATTTTCGGTCTTCCGTTTCACGGATCCTTTAATATATTGGGAGGAAAACACGGAATAGCAAGACACCACGGAAATATATAATAATTCTACACCCTTCTTCTTTATTATCATCGATAGATCGGATCTGGTGTCACATGAGCGTAGATGGTCGTAGAAGTCGTAGATGGTTAGTGTGGATCGGTGTGGATGCATACGTTCCTTGAATAGCGTAGAAGGTTGGGGAGGAGAAGGCGTGTAGAAGCTGGCAATATGAATTAGGTGCAAGAGTGGCAACGAATCAAAGATGCCCAAGAAGAAGACAGGTCAACGTAAGAAGGCCGAGAAGCAGAAGCTCCGGCAGAAAGAGATAAGAACAGCAAAGGATAATTTGACTTTAGCGAAGTACCCCTGCAATGCCCCCATGGTATAATGTGCTCTTAAATGACTAAAGTATTGCTACTGTAATTGTTACAAATTTCTAAAATATAATTTTATTTATTTTACAGGAATGTGAAAAATGTCATAGGTATGTATGACTTTTTTAGCAGTATTAATACGCTTAGACATCAAATATTTTAACGTGCAGTCTTTCTGTGAACAATCTGGTTGTGGTGAAAGTGACCACCGTTAATAAATGTTGCTTTGAATTCCCAACACTATTTTATTTTATTCGATAGTAATTATTTTTGCATTCTGTAGCCCAGAAAAGTATGTGATTCAGGTATATATTTCAGCACACTTTTGTTAAAAGTTGCTGTGAGTGCAATCATAATTTCTGATAACTTCCATTAGTTAAAACTTGACTTCAAGAAGACTTGCCAGTACTGTATCCTTTGGAGAAAGTGACCTTTGATGATTCATTTCCACACTGCTAAACAGAGAAAATAAATGTGATAGATTAATTCAACAGCTATACTCTAAACTTGAGAGAGAGAGAGAGAGAGAGCTATGTTTTGATGGCACTGTCCCTTGTGTCAATAGAGCCCTGTGACTTTAGCATGAAATTTAAACATATACAAAAAAAAAAGCTGCAATTCTTGATGCCCTTGAAGTACAGAGGAGCTAATGTAGATGACTTTTACAGAAAGCAAAAGAATCGAGCATTCTGTTACTTCTGCCAAAGTGTCCAGCGGCTTCCTCAGTGTGCACATTGTGGGAAAATTAAATGTATGCTAAAGACTGGTGATTGTGTGATACGGCATCCAGGAGTTTTCACAACAGGCTTTGGCATGGTGGTAAGATATTGTTTTGGTTAAGTGGCAGTATACATGTGGACTGATTCAATGGCAACCATTTTATTTGAAAACTTAAATCTATACAGGGCATTCCATAACAGGATGTCTATAAAAAATGCCATCTTCTGGGAAGTGGCTCCATGTAGATCTTGTGTGAACTGACATTTCGGAAGAACGTATCGCCCCCATCTTCAGGGTATAAAAATCTGCCAGTCAGCTAGCCGCCTGCTCATGCTGGTTCTTCACTTGCGGATTTTTCCTCCAAAACGTCTGTTAACACTGCCACATCGCAGAAGACAGAATTCTTCATAGTCACCACTGTGAAAACATCAAATCCTACACAGGATGTCCATAGCTTAATTACATCCCCCTAGGATCACTTTGAGTCAAAAAGTTCAAATGAACCTGGGTCTGATCTGTAACAGTTTGTGAAGAAAAGGGGAATGAGCAGCATTGTATTCCACTGTGATTTTTGCATTACAGTGTGGATGCATTTTTTCCAAGGATGATTTCCTGATGGCCCTGCATAATTCAAAACAAGGTTTGAAACACATACTTGATTCTTTCCGAATTGTTTGGGAATCACATTATTTCAAATTTTGTGCATAAACTGATACTTTATTAATATTTTTATACCACACTATTTTGAATTCACATACAATGCAACCACACTGTATTCCTCAGTAGAAGGAAAATGGAATGTTGGAGAAAAAAATTACCCTTTTCAGTTTCCTGTTTACAGGAAGTTGGAATTAAGAAATCAGCCTTTTTTTATTTTCAAAGTAATGTAGACACAAGCTGCCTATACCACCCAGCATATTCCTCACTGTACTCAATTCAACCCTGAAAATGGTAGCAGCATGTTCCCATAAGAGTACTCAGGATATCAACCCAGAAGACCATGATCTGAAGTATTACTGCCATGGAAACCTCAAAACTTATATAACTGTTCAAAAATTACAACTTAACTGACTATGAAAGTAAATTTATCATTGATTCAGAGACCATGTAAAGGCCTCTTTGTTGACACAAAATTTTTAAGAAGTCAAAGTGATGTATACTTCAGACTGACATACCACAAAACCATCTTGTTTTGAAAATAAAGAATGTTATAATGAAATTGTTCTCTACAGGGGGCAATTTGTGACTACTGTGAAGCATGGGTGTGTCACGGTCGTCGATGCCTCACAACGCATGCCTGCACATGCCCTCTGCAAGATGCTATATGTGCTGAATGTGAGCGCCAAGTGTGGGATCATGGTGGACGCATATTCCGTTGTTCCTTTTGCACAAGCTTCCTTTGCGAGGATGATCAGTTCGAACATCAGGCTTCTTGTCAGGTTTTAGAATCAGAAAATTTCAAATGTAAGTGATCAGTTAGTTCATTATGAGGAAAAAATGGTACACAGAATCCTCCTGTTTGTCACAACCATCTTTGAGGGTACATCATATACCTTGAGTAGTCAACCTTACAGAAAAGAAGGCCACTATGTTCAACATCATTGGTATGGCAGTTTTAGCTCTGATAGTATGTTGAAAATAGACACTAGTAATATTCTAATGGTGGCTGAGATTTATGTCATTGATATGATGACATACCATCAAATATATTTCAGATATAATTTAGTTTTATTATGATTACCAGGATCTATATTATGCAGTAGTGTAGTTGGTTGAAGCACTATGCTACAAGCCAGAAGGTCGCAGGTTCGAGTCCCGATGAGGTGGATTTTTTTTTTTTTCAATTTACCTAATCCTTCCAGCCTCACTATGACCCTGGGGTTGACTCAGTCTCTAACAGAAATGAGTACCAGGAATCTTCCTAGGGGGTAAAGGGTGCCTGGCACATAAGGCTGACAACCTTACCACCATCTGTGAGCTGATTTTCTAGAAGATGTGGGAGCCTCAACCTCTCACAACCCTGTGTGCCTCCACAGCCTGTTACAGGGATAACTTTTACCAGGATCTATAGGACAGAATGGGAATCTTATTTGATATCATATAACCATGCTTTTGAAAGCTGCATTAAATAAACAAAATAAATGTAAAAGTAAAGTAAAGGTATCCCTGTAACAGGCCGTGGAGGCCCATAGGGTTGTGAGATGTTGAAGTCCCCACATTTTCTAGACAATCGGCTCATAGATGGCGGCAAGGTTGTCAGCCTTATGCACTGGCCGCCCTTTACCCCCAGGAATATTTCAAGAATATTCCTGGTACTCATTTCTGTTAGAGACTGAGTCAACCTCAGGGCCATAGTGCCTGCTGGAAGGATTAGGTCAATTGAAAAAAATCCAATGACCTCATCATGACTTGAACCCACGACCTTCCAGCTTGTAGCATAGTGCCTCAACCAACTACGCTACCACATGCCCCAGAGAGTAAATGAAAGAAAGAAAATTAGGAGTCCCTTCAGAAGATGTTAGGCAGTAGCCAAAATTTGCAGAATACTGACTTCTCTGCTATACATGGTCTATATATGACCATCAGACATATGAAGGATGTGACTTTTTAATGGTTATATAGTTTCCTAAATGTCTTTGTTTTCTCAATAATTTATTCGCTCTGTATCCTGATGCTAACAAACAGATTAAGTGAGTGCATGTACTGTGAGTTTTCTGTTGAAATCAATCCCCATTAATTTAACAGACATTAGTCCTGTTATGTTGTCACTGAGGAACTGGAAATTGAAATAATAATGCAATTATCATGAACATTTTTCAGTACTGTATTCATCCATGTTTGCAGTGTACACTGCTTAAACTTAAAATAAAAAAAAAAACTTCTTGAACTGCATGCAGACAATCAGTCTGCATTGCCTTGCTGTGTACCTTATAATAGTTTGTATTCTCTTCTATTGATCATTTGAAAAGCAGACACAATCATGCTATAGTGATGATATCTGCGGATTCAGTTATATCAGCTATTCCCAAACTGATGGAGAAAGTGCTCTAATGGAACATTTCACTCTCAAAATATGCCATCTTTTTTATATTACATGTGATGCAGTTGTAGATTACAATGTAAATATTGACATTTCAGGTCAGTCGTGTAACAAGTTAGGACAGTATTCTTGTCTGCGCTGCAAGACATGCTATTGTGAAGATCACGTACGCCGGAAAGGTTTCAAATATGAAAAGAACAAGCCTATTCCCTGTCCTAAGTGTGGATATGAGACTTCACAAACGAAGGATCTTAGCATGTCCAGTATGTTATAATTCATATACTGAGTTTCTTATTCAGCACCTAAACAGTGTTATATTGTTAAATGCAGCAAAACTGTAAGTAAAGTAAAGTAAAGGTATCCCTATAACAGGCCATGAAGGCCCATAGGGTTGTGAGATGTTGAGGGTCCCACATTATCTAGACAATCAGCTGAAAGATGGCGGTAAGGTTGTGAGCCTTATGCGCCGGCTGCGCTTTACTCCCCAGGAAAATTATTTATTTAATTCCTGGTACTCATTTCTGTTAGAGGCAGAGTGAACCCCGGGGCCATAGTGCGGCTGGAAGGATTAGGTCAATTGAAAAATCCAATGACCTCATCCGTATTTGAACCCGCGACCTTATTGACATAAATATGAATATCCGTATAAATATTTCATGGAAGTAAGAATTTAATTTTTAGATGTGTATGTTGTAGAAGCTACTATTCAATAGGCATATATTTTGTACTGTTTTCAGCTCGAAACCATAAGTTTGGTCGCCAGAGTCAGGCAAACATGGATGAAGATGATGAGGATGGTGATGATGGGGGTTACTCTGGGGGTTACAATGGATATGGAAAAGGAACTGGAGACATGGCAGGTAAGAATGTGTTGGATATAAATTATTATTTTAAGTAGATTAATGAGTAATATAATAATTCAGAGTGAGAAATTTTTGAAGATTTTAAGCATTCACAGTAGTTCAGTGCTAATGTGGATCCTATGTCTGGTTGATGACACCATGGAGATATAGTGACTGCATAGTGGATCTTGTTACAGGTTCACAGATATGTGGAAACTGAAAATCAGGCCTTAAAGGGGACTGTTTCTTTGTGGTAGATCTGAATGAGTGGGATGTCTAGAACACTGGGAAACATGAACGTGCAGGCCTAGGGAGAGTGGGTCTTTCAAAGTTGGAAAACATTAAAAGACTATATAGGGCATGATTTCCAATAGGGAAGAACCCACATGTAGTGTTCCTTGATTTAAGCTTTTGTCACAATACTTAATTTCCACAGTCACTGATTTTGCTGTTTAATTTTCAAAATTTTAGATATTCCTTAAATAGGTTATGTGCAAGAATAGCTTTCAGTTCAAGGCAAAATGAGGATGACAATTTGTAATAATTTTGAGAACCAGGGTGAGAATGAGAATTTTCACTAGTAGACCACTTTTTTCACTGTAATATTTTTATATCTCTAGCCACTGCTCCATAATGTGTAAGACTGTGGTTCTGTGTTTAACCCAAATGGAAGATGATTCTGAATTTAAGGGACCCAACATTGGGAAATATGTCTGTACAGAAGAAGTAATTTCATATTAAATTGGAAAACATATCATTGTGCAGTCAAATTACAACATACAATGTTATTTATTAATTTTTTTTTTAATTGACTGACTTAAACAGTCAAATTAGGGGGCACACAGTAGCATAGATGGTTGAGGCACTATGCTACAAGCCGGAAGGTTGTGGGTTTGAATCCCGATGAGGTCATTGGATTTTTCACTTTACCTAACCTTCCAGTCTTACTTTGGCCCTGGGGTCGACTCAGCCTCTAACAGGAATCTTCCGGGGGTAAAGGGTGGCTAGCATGTATGGCTTACAACCTCACCGCCATCTATGAGCTGACTGTCTAAACAGTGTGTGAGCCTTGACATCTCACAGCCCTATGGATCTCCGCAGCCTGTTACAGGGATAACTTTTCCTTCTTAAAGCAGTCAAATTACAACATAGGGTGTTAATTATTACTTAGTTTAACTAAGTTAATTTGAGTTAAAATAAGTAACAAATAACACATTTTGTTGTAATTTGATTGTATTCTGAGAAGTTTTAAATCTTCTATGGATTGCAGTGGTACACAGTGCAATGTTAAAATATAATTTCATATATTTCTATAAACATGTGACAGAAAATAAATATTTGAACCCACCTTATACATGACATTTGTTAGTTGGTTTGTTTCTTAAAAGTGCTAGCCTTTATTGAGCTGCACCAGTCTCATTCTCTATTTTGTTGCTGCTGCACAGTTGTTTTCTTCTGCATATTTAACCACCTTAATCTTAAAGTACACATGACTGTGGCACATGATACTTTCGGACACATTATTCCCTTTTGCGGTAGTACTTGTTTTCTTGACACTATCACCGTATCCATGGTAAGGGATATATGCCTTCACACAGAATCTTATCATAAATAAGTGAATTATCATGTTTGTTTTCTAACTTTTATAGTACATCGTAATGGCTTGTCGCTTCTAACCATGAAATACATTTGTCTCTTTTGCTTGCTACTGGCATTATGATGCTATAAGCACAGATTTCGACATGAACATGCTAAAAGCTTAAAATGATACGTCAGATTCATGATGATGATAGTTTTATAGCTCTTCAAAGAGGGAGAGGGAACTAGACTTCCAGTTGGGTAATATGATACTAAACCTTTTCAGCAAAACCAGTTGTCAGAAAATTATGAGAGTTTAAGGCTGGAAAATGAACGTTTGAATCGAGNTTTTTTTTTTTTTTTTTTGTTTGATCCTAAATATATGAGACTAGCACATCCTTAACAGTTTACAATTTAGCAGTCAAATCTAGTGCTACCCAGAGAAACCTTAAAGAGGGGTTTTGCTGTATTTATTTTTAATCAGATTCTGGCTCAGATGATGATGACGACGATGATGACGATGACTATGAGGAATCTGGAGAAGAGTCAGAGGATGAAGGTGGTGAAGGCGAAGAAGAAACAGCAACATAGTACAGCATATTGCTGGAGAACTTGTGCAGTGACTTTCTGCATAAGATTTCAGTGCTCAGTAAGTAGGCTTGTTCTTCACTCTGGTTTGTTAGGTTTATGGAGACAGTGATTTACATCCCGGCTGTAAAACTTTATAGGTAAGGAGTGAGAATGGTTTACTCATATCTTAATCCTTTTCCTACCTTTCAACAGATTTAACCAATGAGGGAGATTCTTCTAGGCTTGTGATACTGTGATTTGGCTGATTCTTAGAGTCTTTATTTTCTGCTGCATTTAATTTATGCTTATGTTACTGCATTTTCCAGGCCATAAGATACACCTCTGTTGCTTACATGTGGAAACTTGCAATTGCTCAGTGTGCAGAGCCACATTCTGATTCTTGAAAGTGAATTTGTCCAGAATAAGCTTTCATGAGGGTGTGAGGTAACATCCCTTTAAGTGTGTACCTCTTCCAGAATATTTCCAGTTATTTCCATTATCTGACCGCCCCTGTGGTCTAGTGGTCAGAGTTCCTTGCTACAGATTCAGAGGTCCCGAGTTTGATTCCCGGCGCTACCGTATTTTCTGAGAAGTAGTGGGTCTGGAACAGGGTACAGTCAGCCTCGTGAGCAAAATTGAGGAGCTGTTTCAAGGAAATAGTGGTTCTGGTCTAGAAACCCGAGATTAACAACTGTGGGGATCCATTGTGCTGACCACACAACACCCTCTTTCCGCAAAAGTTGGCACTAACCTCGCTGACAAGTGACAGTCACTCAGTCGGTATAGTTCGCTTGAAGGCTACAGGCCACGGAGTTAGCATTTCCATTATCTTCTGCTATACTTTTAACCGGTAAGACGCACTCAGATTATCAACATTTTCTGCTTAAACACTTTTATGAACTGGCTTGGCAGTTCTATCATAGCCTCCAGCATTAAGCTTATCAGTAAGAGTGTCAGTTAATACACTGGCATATATCTGAAGGGAGTGGCAGAAAACCAAAACCTACTTGAGGGCACAGTCATCAAGGCATAACCTAGGTAAGCAGAAAAGTAACCAAATTGAAATGCTGTATAGGGCTATTCAAATTGCTTGAAGTATGTTTCAAAGAATAAATCAAAACAGGGTTCTGAGATAACATTCAGGCATATCTTGTTGATATTGAATATTAGGTATAAAAATACTATAGTGTGTAGACTCGTTGCTAAGCAATGTCTCTGTAAACAATGGTCGTTGCTAGGTAATGTCCATAAACAGTAACACAGGAATGGTGTTCTCTGTGTGGTCCAAGCGATAGCCATATGATACAACAATAAGGGATCTGTTGGAAGCAGTTTTCTATGTGCGATCCGTGCCAAAGCTATATAATGAGGAGCAGTTTATATTACTTAGGATCTTGGGACAGCAGTGAGAAGAGTAGGAAGCTGGTGTGAGACGGCCTCCAGGCTTGGAGTGAGTTGTGAGACAGTCGCCAGCCAGTAAGGGCCTAGCACTGAACAATTTCAAGGCCTTGACAGTGTTGGCACCCATGTCAGACTGGCAACAACCTTCAGTCCAGCATTCTGACAGGCATCAAGAGCCTCATTCAAGTATTCCACAGTCACCTCTGCCTTAGTGCTTCCTCAAGTAAAGTAGTAAGCCACTGGTTGCTTCCGCTTTCTATGTAGGCCACGGATCATGAAAACTGCAGCATGATTTGCAATTTTGCATGGCCTGCTCTGGCTTCCACAATCCTCAAACCTCTCAGTGCAGTCAAACATCTGATTGAAATGTACGTTCTCTCTGATTGACATTTCATGAAACATGAGACAACAGTATTGATCGCTACCAGACATTTTCTGCAGAGAGTGCTGAAGTGCACGAAACACATGAGCATTAATGCCAGTCCTAAATGGACCAGTATTCAGGACAGATTGCATGGATCATCTGGATTGGAGGGGGAGTAGTGTGCGGAGAAGGATATAGGATTTGGGGCTACGTTTAAGGATTCTACCTCCTGCCCTTAGGCTTCTGTCTGTTGTTCCTAAAAATCCTGCCAAAAATCTGGTAGCTTCTAAACTTCAAGAAGATGAAAGATTTGCCATCAGTGGTTCACTGTCCACATCACAGAGCTTTTCCAACTTTCCATTTCTTTTTGAGTTTGCAAAGTGCATTCTCCTTATTCTGAATATGTTCATACAATTTCATTTTTCTCAGTGATAATTCTGAAAGCAAAGCCGAATTAAGTTCTGTTAGCAGAAATGTCTTGCTTGAGGCTTTGAGGATGAACTTTGGTGATTGATATGCCCAAGTTCCCCATCAGAAGCATTTATATTTACAGAGCTTAGGGGAAAAGAGGTTCCTTTCATTGCAAAGGTGTTGGTTGCTGTTGGTCGGTGGTTGGACTGCAGATGATTGAAAGGAAGAAGAATGACTGCATGGATAGGAATAAGTGTTACTCGGTATGGGCCAATCTATTGTAGGTGGTGGGTGGTACAACATGAATAATATCTTTGTGAATTTATAAATGAGGACGAGCTCCAAGGCAGGGTTGTGTAATGAGGAGACAGGATGTTGGAGTGTCTGTGAAGCAGAATTGAGCCACATGGAACTGCCATTCTGTTGAGGTGTGCCCTTTCAGCTGTAGTGAAATCACTTTCCAAGAAATGTCTGCTGCACAAATATTTATTGTGCAGAATTATAGCAGAATCAGTAGTGCAGGATATACCAACTTTTCCTACCTATGAGTATACCAGAGCCCTGTAAGAGTAGAACATATTGTGTCAAAACCTATAGATAATTCATCAGTAAACATTACAAACATGGTGCACATGCTAAATTTTGGGGTTACATTGAATAAATTTAATGCAGACATTGGTTAAATTTAACTTCTTTGTTGGATTAACCAACACATAATAAAGTCATTACATCATGAATTAAAACAAGATATACCATGCTGGATCCATCAGAAAGCCGAATAATTTTAATTCTTTCTGTGTACTAAACAAAAAGCACCCAGAGACAGAGCATATTTTTCTTCGCTCCATTTTGTACTGCAAGGAGCAATACAAAAATTATAACAGTCACGGTACACTTAGAATTTCTTGAGATTCTACAGACCTTCTGTGGGCTAAACAGAAAGATGCATAACATGTCACAACACAAATATGATTTGGATGAAATGTCACCATAAAAAGAAGAATTTTTGACATATATATATTTCTGATTTCATTACGTGTAGTAGGCATAACATACATGTACACAAATAACATATCTAACATGGAAATATAACTTTGTGCATAAACGTGGACTCCCGTTTTACAGCCACATCAAATCAAAATCCATACTTACCAATTTGCATATAATATACCACCATAACTGCAGATAATTGCGCACAATTTGTCCACCAATGGAACATGAAATCAGACTGGTTTGTTAGGGACTCTGTGATTGGTTCAGAAAAATATAATACAATAGCTGTATTGTGATTAGTACAAATAACCAATCAGTTCTGCAGCCAGATATAGATGGCAGTAGTGGTATGTGCAGATAACAACTACGCATGTTTCCATATGTACTATTATAATATTTTCCAGGGGATGCAGCAGACAGAAGTACTTAATGTATGTTGCACTGACTTGCAGAGTGTGTGAATTAGTGATAGGACTACAGTTACTTGTAGTTACAATCTGCAAGTGTTAAATAAATCCAATTACCAATCCAGGCTCGATCTATAATCACTCCATAAAATCGTTACAATACAAAGAACAGTTAGCAGTACCAGTTTTCACTGTTGGAGTTGAATTATTATATACATTGCTATTGGAGAACTTTATGACTTTTGTGTAAGGCACCAGAATGTAATTCAGACAGTTTGAATTCAACCCTCAGTTGGATCTGTTTTTCTAAGTACAGTTCAAACCAGGAAGGGATAAAATGCTGCAGACATGAATATACAAGTGCTGCATGAAGATGACAGGGAATGGTAGCATGAGAAATGGCCTTCAGATTCGTAATATTTATATAAAATAGCCTTTAGTTAAATGATTTTAACAGAACTCACAGAATACCACATACATAAGGCTTACTAACAGATCAGTATCATACCAAAGTCAGGTATACAGTCATCTGACTTTTTGTGTCATGCATTCATTCATCAGTAATCTGTCAGACGACAGGTCCACGGTCTCTTCCAAAACAGTTCCTCCACTTAATGCAATCTAGAGCTTTCTCCTTCAAATGAGAATATCCTCTTCTGTCCCCAAGGTCATCCAGCATCTTCTTACATCTTCTTCCTTGTCTTCTGGTCACTTCTGTCCGCCCCTCTGTCTTTCCTTCAATAACTTCTTTTATAAGGCAGTTACTGCATGAGATATGACCAAACCAATTAGCCTTCCATTTTCTTATTTCATGTAGGATATTCCTCTGCTCACTGACTCTAAATAACACTTCATTTCTCACATAATCGGTCAAACTGATCTTCTCCATTCTTCTCCAACACCGCATTTTGAAGCTTTCCAGGTGTTTCTGATCTACTGCCCTAAGTGTCCAAGTTTCAGCCCCATACAAAGCCATGCTCCAAATGTACCATTTCACTAGTTTCTTTCTCAAATTAAGTCTGATTTGCTGGTAAAAAGATTCTTCTTCTTGCTAAATGCAGCTTTTGCCATGGCAATCCTAGATTTAATTTCACAAGTACACCTTCCATCATCTGTTAACAAGCTACCCTAATATTTAAAACATTTCACATTCTCCAGTTGTTTTTGGTCTATCTTTATTGTGACGGGTTGGTTGTCTCGAAGTTTTCATTACTTTTGTTTTTTCCACATTCATTTCCATGCCATAGCACCTTCCAATTTTGATTAGTCTATCAATCATACCCTGTAGCACAGTTTCTTCCTTAGCTATTAACACAAGGTCATCTGCATATTTCACAGTTTGAATAATTTGCCCTCCTAATTTGAAGCCTCCAAGCCCATCCAGAGCTTCCTTGGTAAGGCATTCGCTGTACAAGTTGAACAAAATTGGTGATAAACAGCATCCTTGTCAAACTCCTCTTCCAATCTTCACACTTCTTGTCTCCCCTCTGTCCAGTCGCACTCTAACTTTCTGATCCATGTACAGTTTACTAATCAATCTTCTTTCCTGCCAAACAATACCTCTTTCCTTTAGGATCTGCATTAATTTGGTCCAATTTACATGGTCAGATGCCTTCTGCCATTCTATAAAGCAAGCACACAGTTCTTCATCTATCTCCAAAGTTCGTTCTGCTATAATTCTCATCATCCCAATTGCATCCCTGGTTCCTTTTCCTCTTCTAAATCCAAACTGATCCTCTCCAAGTATATCCTCTATTTTCCTTTCAATTCTTCTTTTAAGTATCTTTGCTATTATCTTTGCTGTATGTGCAGTAAGGCTTATTGTGGGATGGTCGCTACATTTTGTAGCTTTTTCCTTTTTCTTTAAGGCAATCATTGTCACTTCTGTAAAGTCTTTGGGCCACTCCCCAGTTTCATATATGGTGTTTATTAGTTTTGTCAGTGTTTTCAAACCACCTTCTCCCAGTAACTTAGCACATCTCCAGGTACATCATCTCCTGTAGCCTTTCCGTTCCTCATGTCCTTGATAGCTTTTTCCACCTCACTTTGTAAAATATATGGTCCTTTCTTGTCTATATCTACGTCTTCTTCCGGTTCCACTTCCAAGGTTTCTGGCCGATCAGGTCGATCATATAGTTCTGTAATATAATTTTCCCAAGTTTTCAGCAGTTGCCTCTGGTCTACTATTCTATTCCCCTGAGATATAAATTGATTTTGTTTTAACTATGTATTGGAGGCACTGAAATTGATTTATGACAGAGAAAGAATCGATCATATCCAAATTTCTTGGTTAGCGAATGCAAACTTGTAAGATATGGGGGGGGGATACTAATAAATTATGGACAAAGCTGGATCATTTATTTGTGTTGTTATTGGCCTATTTCTCAGTATTTAAAACCCAAGAAGGGACAGAAGATAAGTATTTGAAACACTAAGATCTAAATTACTTATAATGTTTTCCCTTCTTATGTTTTTTTTTTTTTTTTTTTTT